AATGGCTGCAGTTCCAGGAGGAATCACTGAGCTCCAGGTCTAGGCCACATGCTGCCTTTTCTCACATGGATTCTCTGCCAAAAGCAGCATCCAGAGCATTTTTCTTCCTGCCAGACCCATCATAATCTGTGCTTTAAAGCCTTTTCTCCTTTAATCCCATCAAACTTATTTCCTCTGATCTATTCTTATGTTCATAGAGAATAGAGTCAATTCCTTCATTTGATTGTTCATTACTCTTCCCCTTAATGTGTTGTAATGTTATTAGCTTCTCTTTTTCTCCTCTTCTTAGGTCAAAATTCAGCCTTGATGGGAATAGAAATAACTCAGAGCTCCCAAGCCTTTCTTTGGGATGATAACAAGGTATTTGGTGTATGTGAAGCAGCCACTTATTCAAGGGTTGACAGGAAAAGACAACCAGCAGAACTAAACCAGCCTCTCTCTCACTTGATATTAGATTTTGCCATTAAAATGTCCTGAATGCAGAGATACATGTACAGGTACCATGCAACTGCTGCACCCACTGGAACATCTGGATTGGTGCCTGTATTTAGAAATAAAGCTGTGCCACATGAACATCTTAAGGATTTTATCACTGTCTGCACTGAAAGATGGTTGTCAGCAACAAGAATAATTCCTAGAAGTGACAGACTTGTAACAAAATGTTTGTGACTACAGCTTCACATTGCTCTGGAAGAAAACACTCCCTTATGGAAAATGGAATTAAAAATGGATAAAAGGTCTCAACAGAGACCCTGACATATTTATAAGCACAGCAGCTTGAAGTAAACTTATTTATACTAAATGCAAAAATAAGGCATAAGATGAACATTTGAACTGAGAATGGAAATAGCACTTGAACATATAACATGGCAAGTAAGAAGAGAGAACTGGGAAGAAATGAATGACTGGGTGAATTATAAACATGTACACAACATCTGCTCCATGGAAAACAGCAACTGCAGCTCCCAATCTGTTTAGTAATTATGGCAAAGCAGAGCCCAGCACTGCAAGAGAGGCAGCACAGGGAGCAGAGAACACGGGGCTGTGCTGAAGGGTGAAGGTTTATAAATTGCAGGAAATAGGTTATTAATACACAACTGGAGCAGGCCACCTGCAGTGGTAAACACAGTACCTGGGACAAAAATAGCTCTGGAGATAGAAAGGACAAGTATTATGAGGGAGAATATGGAAAATGGCTTACTGTGTTCCCAGCTCAGTGCAATGGGGAGAAATATGAATCAAGGAGAAACATTGGTTTCCCATTCTTGTTTTAACTTTTCATGCTTCAGGAGAAGGACCTGAGAAACTGTCCCCAAATCTGGTTCCTAATTTACACAGACAAGTTGTCTCATTGAAGTTAACAGCTGAAAAGTGAATTTGGGTTCTTTCAAACGAAAAACAAAGCAAAGGTTTTTGAATTTTGCCAGTAAAACAAATAACAAATGGAAGATTTAATGTCACCTGAAGACCTTGAGTCAGACAACCATCATTTACTAAATGCTTTTTTCCCCCAACTTAAAAGCTGATGCATTTCCTACGAGAAGAAAGTAGAGGGGCTGTGCTGTGGAGAAGATGGGGCAGCTGTAACCTCAAACTTGAAATTGGTACAAGGAAGAACGAGCTGAAAAGGAATGATTTTAATCCAGTCCCCAATACCAGACTAACGCAGAATCATAAAGCTAAATACAGGAACAAACCCTCTAGTTTGTGACACTGTGCCCCAGTGTCACATTCTGTACCTGTGCAGTGTCACATTCTGTACCTGTGCAGTGTCACACTGCTGTACCTGTTTACCAGTGTCACAGGTCTAAGCCAGCAGCCTTGATCCAGGGGGCAACAGCTTCCAAACAAGTCTATTACCAACAGCTTACTCAAAGATATAATTCTCCATACACCATCTGAATGGTTATTTAGGCCACCACCTCACTCTCTTTCACAATAAGAATCAAGCCTCTAGGGGTTGTAAGTACCTGTGAGTAGCTACCTGTAAGTACCACGTGTGAGTGGTTGTTGCTCTGGTAGAGTGGAAGGCACTCTGTGCTCCTGTCCTGTTACTGCTTCCTCCAAACATTGCAAAGAAAGACTGTACCCTTAGGATTTGCTTTTTAAAAATTATTTTTCCTCAAGACCCTTTCCGTGTAATAAAAAATCAGCAGAGGATGTTCATGAAGGACTGACATGTCATGAATGCCAAAATCAACAACCAAATAGGGAAGGTAATGCTGCCTTCATCTTCCAGTAAAGACAGGGATTAACGAAGAGGAAAGATTGACACCTGTAAAACCTACATCCTTCATATAAAGCACAGAAGCCTTTATATAAAGCACAAAAGTCAGCTAACATGCTGGTAGGAAAACCTCCCCCTTAAGCACCACACAATAACCCTGGCTGCTCATTCCAAACAGCTCTTCACTGAAAAGGTGTGCTCAAGGTTTCATTCATCATCTGCCCTGCTTTTTAAGGGGGTAGATGGGGGATAATGATTAAACTGTGTTGGGGATGTAATATTAGGGAGTAGATTGGCTTGAAGACTAATATTACCCTAGCCTGGCTAATCTAATTCAATAATTCCTTGCAGCATGGCTGTTAATCAGCTGCTGACAGGCAAGGGAAGGTGGCAGGAAGCCACCCTAGAACAGCAGACAGGCTGTGTGCCCCTCTCCCAGCCCAGGGACTGTCTGTGGCTGCAGCACTGGCTGCTGTTTGTGGAGGAACAGAAAGAGCACTCCCTGCTCTTTCTGGAGCCTCTGGCAACAAAACTGCTGTGTGTGCTCAGGGAAGACACCACTTTCCCCCTTGTCCCCTCCATCAGCTCACAGGAAAATATGAGGGAATATGCAGTTACAACTGACCCCATTTTCCTCAGGACTCTCGGCTGCCCCAGGTAAGCGTCCTGTTAACTGGGATCAGGGAATGGGAACCAGGAGAACAATCTATGCCACTTTACTGAAAAGCATGAGATAGGCATAGGTTTTCATTCCCTAGTTCTGCCTCACAGACAACAGACCTGGGGCTGACTTTAATGAGCAGAGAGAGGCATTTCAGAAATGGCAATAGCACTCTCAAATTCTAATGAGTACTCTTGTGGGTTTTTTCCTGATAGATTTCAGTATGACAATATTGTTATTTAGTATTTAGTAGGATTCAGTATAATAATGTTGTTGTTACTAAATGTTTCCCTAACACTCCCCTCCTCCCCAGCACCTGACCGACCCCAGGCACAGCCCAGCCAGCAGTGCCCGTTTGGGAGGGGACATCTCCTGCCCCTCCCTCCACACAGAGAACACAACTTTCCCTCAATTTCAAATATTTTCTTTTAAGGATGAAGTTTCCCATGCATTCTTAACCCTCACGGGCGCTAATTGCTGACCACAGCTGAACCTTTTAAATGACTCCTCACTCACATTTGCCATACCCCGAGTCTGATGGATTAAAAAAAACCCAGTGAAAGTACATGGTAAGACTTTCCCCCATCCTCTACTAGGACATTTTAAAAAGAAATAACTGTTATATTACAGGAAACACAGTTGTACAGAAACACCTTAAATTATAAAGTGTGAATTTTGTTACAGACTGCAGTGGTGATTATTTGATAAACTGGAGCGAAGCAGAGCAGTTCTGGGAGAAGAGCTCGGCTCCCACCCCTGAGCCCTCAGAGCTCCCCACCCTCGGCCGCCAACACCTCATTTTCAGTTTGCTTGTGTTTTCTGAGGGAAAGATTTCTTGGAATTGTGTTCTGTCCTTAAGCATTGCAACCCCGAAGGGGAAGCCTGTTCCCTGAGCAGCTCCCGCAGTGTCAGTCTAACGCGGGCACGCAGGAACACGGACCTGCTGCTGCTCTGGGACGGCAAACCCAGGGCTGCAAGGACAGCCCGAGGCATTTGCTCAAGGATTTCAGCACTCACAGACTGGGTCTGCTTGTTTCTTTTTTAAAAAGAAAAACTTTTTGTCCACAAACCAGCACGATGTGATGAACCTGCTGTTGCTGGGATGCACCAAATCCTGCTGCTGCCCAGGAGCCAAATCTGCTGCTGAATGGGAGGGGACCGAGTTTGGGGTCTGAGGGGGCACTGACTGTTTTGTTGCCTGATAAACCTCAAAATTCATTTCAACTCACATAAGACATGTAACTTGTAACACACATATTGCCAGCAGCCCTTCTCCCACTCAGGGGAACAAACAAGCACTAAGTGAACAGGGGAAAAACTCAATATGAAATGCAAAAACCCCAAGTCTCATTTTAATCAATTTAAAAAAATGAAATTAAAAAAATAAATATTGGCCTTTACATTTGCAGCAGTGTGCTCAGAAAGATTTATAAGTCCAAAGCCCCCTGTCCCCAGCAATCACTGTACAGACCACTTGACCTCAAGGCAAAGCCTGGTTGCAGCTTGCAGCAGGTTGGTTGGTGAACTGTACCAGCTCCCATCTCATACTTTTTATTTTTCGAGCCAGCAGACTGCAACTACTTGCCTAAAGAAATTAAATAAACAGTGAGAATGTGCCAAAGTACTCCCACCACTTGGAGCAGTTTGTTTTTCAGAACATTCAGTGCCAGACTGCTGAATGGGAAAGAGAAGGAACAGGAGAGTAAAACCTTTCATTTCTCAAGTGTTTATCACAGTTTAGCACTGGGATATTCATTGCCCTTTCATTTCTTGTTGAATGGAAGCAGAGTAAGATCACATCTTTCCTTAAAAACTCAACAAGTTTAGGAAGTTTGGACAAATCTGGAAAATTAAGAGCTACTTCTACAGCCACCACTGACTGCAGCAGGAATTGAAGACACTTAAAACTTGGAGAAGCCCCTGACAACAAAAATATTAGGTGAAAATTTGTCAAAATCTTTAAAAGCATTTCACTGTCAACAAAAGTGAAAATTAAGACTGAAGAAGTCACGATTACAAACACTGAGGTGCTACAGGGGGTGAAGTACAAACAACATAGCCCGGTGCTAAATTCTGAACAGCCAAACCACAAGAAAAGTCATCAAGACAAAGGAATCTTACAAAGCTTTATTAAAAAATACAGAATCAAATAACATAGTCCCAGTCCAAAAAAGTGCTTACAGTACCAATGAATACTGCAGTTGTACCCAAAGGAAGCCATTCTATGTTTTGGGTTTCTTTTTATTTTATTGTTGTTGTAAAAAACCACCAAATTATTCACAGTTGTTCCAGCATTCTTCATGCTGAATCAGCATATTGTGCTGATGAATCCCATTGTAAGGCTAAACATAAGAACACTTATCAGTGCAGTACATTCTTGAGTCTTTGGAACTCAAAATAAAAACTACTTCTTTGACATATACAATCCTTCAATTTTTTGGCTCATATTTCATCTGTTTTTCTAGTTCCCTTTTTTAAAAAGTTCATTAAAAATAAATCTGATTTACAAAAAAGTAAATAAAAAATTGCTAACACTATAACTTAGACATAACTTCTAGCTGCTGAAGAGTGCAAGAAAGCCAGCTTAATATGAATACTGCTTTTTGTCTAGGCAGCACTGCCACTGAGCATCAGAGACAAAACAAGTTTGTGAGAACTGAAGCACTGACATAAAAAAATAAATTCAGAGCCCTAAATATTAAAAAGAAAAATAACTTAAGGACTAGTTACATTCAAGAGAAGACTTGAATTACATCACAACTGCTGAAGTTCTCAAATCTGCCAAGGCACTGATTTATTTTGCAGCCCCAGTGCATGGAGGTGAGTCCTGGTGCTCTACCGAGAGGCATAACCTGTGCTCCAGAGCGTGGGTGAGGGGCTTGTCCTCCTGCTGGAGCACTGAGAACTGAAGGAAAGAGCAGGTGACACACTGAGACCTGAAACACAGGGGAAGGAAGAAACAATCACACTGGGGAATGGGGAGAAGGAAGAAACAAATAATTGCTGATGATCATCTGCTGGACACAGGGAGTGAGACTAATGGTCCCTTCAGAGTAAAACAATGCCTTTAGCTTCATTCCTACAGAAAAGATATCACAATTTTACAGGTCTTCCTGTGCAGGACTTTTTAAGTCTGAGGGGGGCACAACACATTTCACCTCAGCAAGTGACATTCATTTGCATTTGCCTAATTTTATCTAAAGCATCAGGCACATGTGTTTACAAACAGGCCTGCAGCTCACCCTGACTACAACACATCTGTACTAATGGGAATTGTTTTAACAGCCAGTGTTGATTACAGACCTCCCTACATTCCATTGCAATGCAACAGCCAGACTGATCAATTAATTCCCTCCTAATTGGGTTCTAGGTGCTTACTGTTAAGGGTGTGCTGAGGACTTGTCCTTGGGGTGAACACAGGGTGAGTGTGCTGTCCATTCGGTGAGAAAAAGGCATGATAGGCTGCAAGACAGGTAAAAAACCCCCAAAATCATTTCACATGGAAATTATTCCTTTATATCTTACAGTTAATGCATTGTAAGAAGTTATAGAAATAAATACTTGTGCAATCTTTCCTTCTCTTACCTATGATCATAACAGCTGTCCCTGCTAATAGTGCAAAAAGAGTGAAGATCATCACCTGGTAAGACTCAACAAAGTGCTGGAAAAGACTGGCTTCATCTGCAGAGTAGATTAAGAGGACACAACATTCAGTTAAAAGAGCATCTTCTCCAATCTGCTTTAACAGTTCTTAAACTGAAACAGCCAAAAGCAGCTTTTCATTGATAGCAAATAAGTGTAATCAACTTAGATAATATAACTTAGAATCTAGTGACTATTTCCAATGCAGTCCTCAAATCTGCTAGTAACAACTTCAGACACTGACTGGGGTTGTGGCTGCCCCATCCCTGGAAGTATCCAAGGCCAGGTTGGATGGGGCTTGGAGCAACCTGGGCTAGTGGAAGGTGTCCCTGCCCATGGCAGGGGGTGGCACTGGATGGGCTTTGAGGTCCCTTCCAACCCAAACTTTCTGGGATTCTATGATTCTATACACAATGTCTTTAGTGTGTTCTTTACTTACTCAGCCCCAAAATGCTGATCTGTTTTCAAAATAGCAAGGCATGCTTGGGAGTAAACAAAAGCAGAGTGAAAAAAAATAACTTTCAGACACTACAGCACTGTTACAGTTACACTGAGTATTCTAGGCTGACCCCAAAGAAAAGTATGTTCCACTTCAGCCATAATGAGCAGTTGTATTCCAGTCTTATGGTCACAAAGAGCAGCTCACATGTCAATGACAGTGCCAGCTGCTAGCTCAGATTTTAACACATCAAACTTTAAAACCTCATGGCCATTAGTGAAAGTTAAAGGTTTATTCCAGCACGTGAAGTCCAGAGCTACACTTACATCTCACTGGCGCAGTGGTTCTGTCAGCCAGGTAAACCACTGTCACTGGGATGGTGATGGACTGGTCAGTCATGGGGCTGGAGACAGTCAGGGTGGTGGACAAGGAGCCCTGGCTGGGAACTCTGGGATCAGCCAGGCTGACAGTGTACACCACGTGACTGGGCAGCTCGTAGGACTTCTCCTTCTCCAGCACCTTCACTGCTGGGGACCCACATTTCACCTGCAGAAGGAAAAACCAACCTGAAACAGACTGCTTGGGAATATCCATCTTCCAGGCCACATATCAGAGCTCTGTTATTCCACAGAAACACAGAGCAAGTCACCCCTGAAGAGGAGTCAGATGAGGCAGTACCTTTGCAGTGACCCCTGCAGCACTTCCCCCCTGGTCACTGCCCTCTTCCCTGGTGTTTCCACAGGTCTGGGCTAACCCCACACAGCAAAAACCCAAGGGTCCCTCCCGGGGCTGTGTGAACCAGGGGCAGCCACACAGGTATGTGGGAAGAACCTCCCCGTGCCCCAAGGATCAGGCAGGGTTCTGTTCCCAACCAGCAGCTGGTTCACACATCCCAGGCAGCATGCCCAGCTGAGCCTGGCACACTTCTACCACCCCAGAACCCCAGGGTCAGACTGGATGGAGCCCTGAGCAACCCTGCCCATGGCAGGGATGAGCTTTAGGGTCCCTTCCAACCCAAACCACACTGTGATTCTCTGAAAACAAAAGTGAAACCTGGGGAAGAATACATTCCAAGATGAGTCTTTCCAAATCACCTCAGGACAATCTTGACATGGCAAAGGTGGCACGGAGTGCCTTTGGTTAGAAAGCTGCATGTGACAGCTCAAACTGCTTTCAGCTGTGCCATGACACTTCCCAGCCATACACTCACCTCCAGGGTGTCCAGAATGTCAGTGGCCCCAAATATCCTGAGGTCTGAGCTCACGTACTGGTTGCTCAGGAGCATTTCTGTCTGGTCAGCATAGAACCAGCGGCTGAAGGGCACCTCTGTGCTGCCCTGCTGCCCCGGGGAGGGGCTGCCCCGCAGCGCGGCCGTGACCCGCAGCGTGGCTCTGCTCCTGCTCAGCTGCCTCAGCTGCTTCTCAGACACGCTGTGCATGGAGATGGAGCACGTGTAGTGTCCTGCAGAAACAAGGGAACTGCTCGTCTTCGGGGTTTTGTTTCCATGCACAGTGAGATTTCTGGGACATCCTCAGAGAAAAGCTAAAAAAGGTGGCAAAACTCAAGCAAGTGCAAGATTAGGAGCGCGCAGGTGAACGGGACTGTGTGTCTGCTGGGTCAAACATCACAACCCCAGACTAAACACCATGAAAAAAACCACAGCTGGCAGCTTCCAGTCACATTTTAATATGCCAGTGCGACTCATGTCCACTTTGAACCTAACATTTATGCTAACATTGACAGGAATGTTAAATTTTGCTTACTGAAAACAAAATTTAATATTTGATATTCTTTTCAACTAATGTTAAAATTTTAGCCAGTTACCAAGTCTGTGAAGATGTAGTTTATTTATAAAAGCTTCTTTAAAGGTCAGATGTTCACCATGTTCCCAGTCTCATATGGGATCAATTTATCTCTTATTAGCAATAAAGGTAGTAAAAATTTCCCCCAGTATGGAAGATAAAAAGCATGAGTAACAAGCAGAACTTGCCAGGTACATGTTTTCCCCTTATTTTCTTCCCCTAACAAAGTAACAGGGGATATGCAGGGTAAAATAGTGTTTACACAATGGGTGCAGGGATGAATCCAACAGATTATTAATGTTCTTTCCGTACAGTCCATGGTCTTCTGGTTCTGTTTTAAACCACGTTATACTTCTAAAACATAACACATGTTGTAGACTTGCACAGTTTTATTTCCATCTCCACAGTATCTGGCAATTTGCTCTCCTTTTAAGTCCCAGTTCACGATGTTTTTGGGATACATTCTAATTTGGGAATACTTGTCACCTGAAGGCTCCTTTTTTCTTTGACTTACTACAAAAACTCTGAAAAACATGGAATGGGCTGCCACTGCTTTGGCTTACTCTGAAAAGCAACACATGTTTTTGTCACAGGCAGAAAACACTTAAACAGGAAGTGTCCATGTTAACAACTCCCTGAGGCAAAGCTCAGAGACTTCAGAAGGAAAGGGAATAGGATTAGATGGGATATTGGGAAGGAATCCTTCCCTGTGAGGGTGATGGGGCCCTGGCACAGGTTGCCCAGAGAAGCTGTGGCTGCCCCATCCCTGCAAGTGTCCAAGGCCAGGTTGGACAGGGCTTGGAGCAACCTGGGCTGGTGGAAGATGTCCCTGCCCATGGCAGGGGGTGGCACTGGGTGGGCTTTAAGGTCCTTCCAACCCAGACCATTCTGGGAGTCTGTGAAAGGTGCTGGGTCAAAGAGCTTTGGGTCTAAAGCCCAGCAGAACTCTGAGTATTTGTCTGCAGTGTGGCCTCTTGTCACATCTTACCTGAAAGTGCATCAAACCCAGGTTCTGCTGTAAAAACATCCCGTGCTGAGAAGTCAAACACGTCACTGCTAAAATCCAGGTGGCAACTCAGAATGGACTGTGGTTGTAACTCAGCAATGGCTTCAACCTGAGTGGGTAAGCACTCCCCTAGGGGAAGGGAAAAAATTAATTACAAAATAAAACTATAACTAATTCATTAAAAGCAAAAGCATGGCTTGTAATATCAGTTTTTTCTGCCACCTTCTGAAATAGTTTCAAAAAGTTATGATGATCTTAAAGGAGCTGGAAATCACAGACAGCTGCCCTAGCTCAGGTCTAATCCCAAAGAGACAGCAGTGAAAATTTTATATGTTGTGGGGTTTTTTTGGCAGGAATAATTTATTTACAGGAAAGAATGAACTGGAGAGAATTTTCAGCTCAGATGTCTCTTGAATAACTTGTATGAACCTGGGAGTCTCAATTTATATTTTACTATCTGGCAACATGTTTTTTTTGGTAGGCTAATAATTTACATATGGCACAATAAATTACTACTGGAACACTGAGTGTTGAGCTAAAAAGTAAAAGGATCTGTAATCACACAAAATACAGCTTATTAAATAGAGGACACAATATAATGCTTAATCTTTGTATTGACTCTAATTGGTTAAGAGTGGTAACTACTTTAAACATGTTCAGTAAGAAAATGTAACTCCAAGAAGGCCATTGGAATTAAACATATAAGCAAACCATCAGCTGATGGTCCACTGACTGTTTTTTTTAATATGATCAAAAATGGTACTTCTATTATCTACTGATTTTATTAGTTGGGAAATATTAACAGTGCCCCAGAACACCTTCCAAGTTCTGTCACACAGCCCTGAGTTGTTCTGGAGCTCCTGGGATTCTGGAGAGGCACTAGAGGTTCCCAGGGATCTTGTTGCCCCGGTTTCACAGACCCTTAAACAACAAACAAAAATACACAAACACACAATAAACGTGAGGATTTTTTCACCATACCTTTCAAATTTTTATTTCTTTCCCCAATTGAAACTATGACTTTGGAGGCTGCAGCTCCCTGTGAGCTTGTGTGCAGCCCACTGACATGCATTGCTCTGGTCCTCTGGGGAGCAGTGATCAGGACCTGAAAAAAGGATGAACTACATGGTCACCAAAAACTGTTTAAACAAATAAAAATGGAGGCAAAACCAGACTGAATTGGTTGTGTAAGATTCCAAGAGGTCACGTTTTTCTTTGAAATCCTACATTTCTCTAATATTAGAAACTGCTTTCCAAGGCAATTTAAGCTAGCAAAAACATTTTCCTTTTCTACCCAACCTCCAGAAGTTAATATGCATAAAGCTCTATGTCTAAATTTAATTTAAAAAGAATGTGTAGTGCTTATGTTGGCTGATGCAGTCAATTGTGTCAACAGAAGGATTGCACTGCAGCTAAACAAAATAATTTAATGGAGTCCTTCTGATCAGTGATGCACAGCACAACACTTGAGAAAGTTCTTGCTGGCATCTCCTCCTGCAGTGAAGCTTCATTCATAAAAGCAGCCATAATCAAAATTGTTTAGCATCTGGAAACAACTTAGCCAACAAGGGAATCAAAATGCACAATAGAAGAACACTATAGGTGAAAAATCAAAATTCTTATGCTGAATTTCCCTTCTTAGCACAGATGATTAAAAAGAGTGATGTGTTTGGATAAGTACCAAATATTTTCCAAGCATAAAAGAACATTTTTAAATATTTATAACCAAACCCCCGTAGAATACAATTTGTTGAGGGTCCCCCCAAAGCAAAGCAAGCTCAGTAGGAAGTGACAGTGCCTCACCTCTCTGTATGTTTTCAGTACCCCAGGGATCTCATAGTAGACAGTGGCCAGCCCAGAGTCCCTGGCCAGGGCCACACCAGTTTTGGAGTCAATGAGAAGAACAGCACTGGAGGAGGAGCTCCACACACCAGGAAGGCCTGGAACACACCCATGGACACTGCTCAATACACTGCTGCTCACTGAGCACACCCCATGGACACTGCTCAGCACACTGCTGCTCACTGAGCACACCCCATGGACACTGCTGCTCACTGAGCTCACCCAAATCACCCTGCACTGCCCCTGCCCACTGCCCACACCCCATGGACACTGCTCAGCACACTGCTGCTCACTGAGCTCACCCAAATCACCCTGCACCGCCCCTGCCCACTGCCCACACCCCATGGACACTGCTCAGCACACTGCTGCTCACTGAGCTCACCCAAATCACCCTGCACCGCCCCTGCCCACTGCCCACACCCCATGGACACTGCTCAGCACACTGCTGCTCACTGAGCTCACCCAAATCACCCTGCACTGCACACACCCATGGACACTGCT